AGGCCCACAGTAGGTGCTCAGCAGGAAGAAGTCTCCGTGGGAACCCCAAAGCCAACCAAAGTCTGGGAAGACCATAGTCCCAGAACAAATGCCCTGGTCCTTAAACTGACCGCAGCCACTGTAGCGAGGTCAGCAAAAGGGAGGGGTTGTGCTGTAACCCGCTGTAGGGGTGGGTTCTTCCTTTCTACCTGTCACTACCCCTAGCCCAGACACAGGCACATTTCATCCTCACCCCTGCACTCTGACTTCTGTGCCCTGGGAGGCACTCAGGGACAAGGGGCCATGGAGTTCGCTATGGCCAGGGATGCTAACCATGCCAGGCCACAACTCCTCGCACCAATTCCCCAGGATTCCTGCCTGTCCCACAGGCCCTGGCTTTCACAACAGCAGCTTGGGCAGTTGGGTGTGTTTGCAGAGGATACCCCTCCTCCAGGTCAGCTGTGGGGGGAGATGAGTGAAAGGAAGACCTAGGAGTCTCTCCCCTCACAGAACTCCAGTCACAGCAAACTACTTGGCATTCCCTCAATGCTTCCTGTCCTTTCTAGTCTCTGTGTTTGCTCGCTCTGGTTTTTGGGGTGCCTTTCCCCCATATCCGCCTAATTAAACCCTATTCATTCTTCAAGTTCCAGCCCAAATACCTTTCTTCCAGGAAACCCCATCTTCATCCTAAAAGAGCTTCTCCTCCTTACCCTACACTCCTTATCATAACCTCTGTGTTAATTTAGGTTACAGGATCTCACCCCAACACTGCACAAATACTATGTGGATCAAAGATGGTGCCTGGGAGTCAGGGAGATTGAGGTTTGATTCCTGGATCAGTTGCTTGTCAGCCTTGTAATCCTGGACAAGTTTCTTGGCCTTATTAAGCCCCCTTGTAAAATAGGGGGAAAAATAGGATAGTTCTGGAAGGTAAATGAGATCATGCTCATTCAGCCCTCAGGATTATGCTTTGCACACACGAAGCTCTGAATAAATGTTAGCTGTTATCTCTGGCTCTCCTCTACCTCCACACTCACCCACAGTATGTCATGTCAGTTAGGCCTTGACCCTCTCGATAGGTGAAAGAATTTTATTGGACCGAGTCTCCCAAGTTCCAGATGTGAAGAGGCTTCCTTCTGAGAGGAACAGAGATGCTGACAAGAGGCTGGAATTTCTGAAAACCAGAGATCCCAAGAGAGAAGAGGATGAGAGACCATGACCGTCGGTCAGATGGGATGTAGAGGTAAAGATGGAGGGTTATCAGCCAAAGAAATAGCAATGCTTTTGTCAGGGGAAAAATCTTTTCTTCTGCCCTCCTACATTCAGTATCTGGAAGCCTGTGAATATTTACCTGCATGGACGTTTACACAAAAGAAGTGAAATCAAATAAGACCCAGGGTTAGATTAGGGGTCTTAGGTACCCTTCCAACAAAGTAAGAGAGTTTGGGGCCAAAGGGCAATGAGTTGTGGGGAAGTGACTAGGTAATATACAGGGGAACCAATGGAAGAGAAGGGCTGTTTTAGGAAGGTCTGTTTACACACATTCATCTTGGTGTTGAATCCCCATCTTCAGTTGTGCCCTGCTCTCAGGCTGCTAAGGGGAGGGCACAGAACTCTTCCTGCATCTGTTGATTCTCTATTGCCTTCGGCTCAAAATAATCCTTACGCCAAAGTAGCGTATTTTGGAATGGCATGCTCTGAGCTCCTTCACTTCACAGACTGTTCAGCTGCCAGGACCAAAAATCTAGCAAAGCCTCCTTCTGCAGACATAAAGAACCTCCACTCAGATTTAGCTCCGAGGGTGCTTCTCAGACCCAAAGAGTCACAGCCCCTGGCCTGTGTGCTTACATTTTCATCCCTTCAGGGCATCCAAGAAGCAAATTCAGAAAATATACTCCAAGGCTAGGAAGGAAGCCACAAAAGAAGCAAAAATGGTCTTCGGGTGATTAAGATTCACCCCAATTCCCTGACAAGAGTCTATGCCTCTGGGGGTCCTGCTGAGCCACACTGTGTTTTCTGAGAAATGCCCTCCACTAATAGACTTGGACCCTGTAATTACATTAGTAGTATGTGGATCTGTTTGTTCTCTTTGCCCATCTGGCAGGCCTGGGATTGTGCCTTGACCCAGAGCAGCCAATCAAGAACCTATGCACGGAGATTCAGATTTTCTGTGAATTTGGAACTAGGATAGGAGATCATTTAGGTGAAGCTGCTATACTTAAAAGGTCATGCAGAAGAAGGTCTGCAGAGAGAATATAGTAGATGGTTCAAGATGTCCAGGCCTTCACCAGAGGGCAATCAAGACTAGTTCCTGACTCACCAGTCCCAGCACCCCAAGGCCTGGCTGGATTTCTTGGGATTGAAGTGCATAACATTCCCCCTTTACTATGTAATTCCAATGTTTGTGTTAGCCAAAAGACTGAAACACTGATTTTCTTTGACTCTATGTCTTCTTGTCCAAGTTCTCTCAGACCAAATATACAGACCCAGAGCTCTGGTTTCCATTGTGGAGTTCAGAGCTTCACTAGTGAGACTCCCAGGGACAGCTCCATCCAGAATTCAGCCTACAATTGGAAGGAGAGCCAGTACCATCCCTTACCTGCTCCAGAATGCCTGGCACCCGCAGATCCCCTCTCAGAGGTAACAATAGTAATAGCTACCATTTCATCCTGCATCAGATGCTGTGCCAAATATTATTTTCAGTCCTCAAAAGAATACTGATTGGTTTTTTAATTGTTTTAAGTATTTTTACTATGATTTAACATACATGTACACGGAGAGCAAAAAAGCATAAATTCCTCACACAAGCTTTTATAGACATAGGAAGCCAAAACCTTGCCAACCAAAACCATTAAAATTAACATAAACAATTGATATCTGGCTGTTAGAGTCCTGGGCTGCCCGTTCACCAAAATGGTAGCTCATGAATGGTCAGGGAAAGATCTTGAAAAATACTCACAACCAGGCACAGGGCAAGCCCTTGTTAAAGATTTGTTGAATGAATAAATGACTAAATGGGTGAGTATGGAGATGTTTGTTTGTTTGTTTATTGGCACAGAATGTATGGTTCTGTCCCTCTTTTATTCATTCATGAGAGACAGAGAGAGAGAGAGACAGAGAGAGGCAGAGACACAGGCAGAGGGAGAAGCAGGCTCCATACAGGGAGCCCGACGTGGGACTCCAGGATCATGCCCTGGGCTGCAGGCGGCGCTAAACTGCTGAGCCACCAGGGCTGCCCAAAGATAGTTGTTTAAAAGACAGTCTGCTCTACCCCAACCATGCAGAAGCCTGTAATTCAGCACTTCATATTCACCACTGCAGCCTGTGGCTCTTCCCTCCTTGTTACCCAGGGGCTAGTCTAATGGCATTCACCATTGCAGTCAGCCAGGATACCATTAAAAGCTTCAGTCCAGCCACTGTTCCCCAACCCAGGTCTTGGCTCTGGGCCCTGGGTTCAGGGAGTGGTCTGGTTGTTTACCAGAAATTTGGACCTTCTTCAGAGAAAAGCGCAGATGACCTATTAGTCTAATTCAAGCACTTAGCAAGGAATGACTGTATTATTCACACCCCCAGCCCCAGGCTAATGGAGCCGAAGCAAATGGAGAGGCTTTGCCAGCTCCAAGATCTTCCTGGGAGGGGAGGAAGGGAAGGTCCACCCAGTGCCCCACTGAAGTTTGCAGGCAGGCTTGTTGGCAGAGCATTTCCTGGAGGTAGGGTGGGCTATGGGAGTACAAAAATGTGTAAAGAGAGGCCCCCCTAATTCCACCCACCACTCTGGCAGCAACTCTGCTCATCCACCCTCAGTCACCTCCTCATGACCTTGAAACTTGGTTGGGAGAAAAATGGGGAAACAACCAAATATCTGTCGATGTAGTACTGGTTAAATAACCCATGTATGAAGGAATATGCATTTATACAAGTCCATGTTCTGCAGCTGATAACAAGAATGCTGTAGTTCAATCTCTACTCATGCATGCCAAAAGATATCTGTGACTTACACAGCGATATTCAATTTACATGAAATTATATACACCAGCAGATTCTCACATGCACAGGTATACAGAAAGCATTTGGCAGTTTGCAAGGAGGATTTTAAAGATTTTACTTTCTTTTTTTATAATTGTCTGTATTGTTCAAATTCTCTACAAAAACCACTTACTATAATTGCTACCATTTTTGAGTTCTTACTACGCGTCAGTCCCAATGCTTTTCCATGGAATATCTCACTCCTTATGAAGTGGGTTCTATGCTTTTTCACATTACTGAGGGAGATAATGAGATTAGAAAGGTTGAACCCAAGGTCATGTAGCTAGTAACTGACAGAGTCAAGTGTTTTTGGAGGATCAAATGAATTAATGCATGTAGTAGGGGCTCAATAAATGAGGGTTATTATTATAATTATTGTACAGCACTCATCACACTACCTTGTTCTTCTTATCTCGTCTATTTCCCTGCTCTGGTGTGTGAAAGACTTGGAAACAGGCTCTGAATTATTACTTCAGAATCTCCTATATCCAGCACAGTGCCTTGCAGAGCCAGCATGCATCAGATGCTTATGGAAAGAGTGAGTGAATGAATTAAGAGGCAAATATCCACAGCTCTATAAATATATTTTCCCAACTACTTTGTTTCTTATCCCAACAGGATTGCAAATGAGATCAAGGACCAGTCTCCTTTCCTCTGGCCCCCATTATCGTCTGGAGCAAACCAATAACCTAAGCAGGTGCTATAGATGGACACTCCCCCTCAGCTGCTGTGGCAGGTCCTAGGCAGTACCCCAGAAATGGCTGGGTCTGGGACAGACACCTAGTCCACAGCCTCACATTAGCTATTTTTTCTTCCAACTCCATGTTAAGTACACAGAGAGGTTGAGAGACTTGCAGGAAGTCACATAGCAATCGGCGGCAGGGTTTCTGTCTTGCCTGGCCTCTACTCTTGTGTCCGTAACAATCCTAATTATAAATTCACATTGTGAGAAAATAGGAAAAGAGCAAAAGTTTTTTTTTTAAAGATTTATTTATTTATTCGTGAGAGACACACAGAGAGAGGCAGAGACACAGGCAGAGGGAGAAGCAGGCTCCTTGCAGGAGCCCAATGTGGGAGTCGATCCTGGGACTCCAGGATCACACCCTGAGCCAAAGGCAGATGCTCAACTAGTGAGCCACCCAGGTGTCCCAGAAAAGAGCAAAATTTTAAGTCAAATGTTTAATCATGATCCAAGGAGCTGGGGGGTACTTCAGGACAGTAGCAGGTGAAAGCAAGACCCAAACACTCTGGCTCCTGATCAAATGTTCTGCAGGATCCCCAGGTAGGGGAGGCAGCAGGTTCCCATTCCCCATTCAGAGGAGGAGACAGAGGGGTAGGAGTCTTGCCTCAGTCTTCCTCACAATGGGGAATGTCTTTCTAGGCTGCCTCAGAACATCCAGCCCTGCCTACCTGGAGAATGCAACAGAGAGTGACTGATTTGTTAGAGCCTGGGTGATTCTGGTGGGCAGGAGGAAGGGCTCAGGAGACAGCTAGGGAGAGGTGGCCTCCCTCAGAAGACATGGTAAAACCAAAGTCCCTAAGTCCTAAGGAAGGGTGCCTGAGTCAGAGCAGAGGGAATGAGAACCTAGCTAGTCAGTTTCTGCTATGACCCCCTCTAGAGCCATCTGGATATGGGGGCGGGGTGCAGGGTGCAGTCAAGGTCGCCATGTTGTTTAAGGCATCTCTTTCCTGATGCTGCTCTTTCCTCAACCCTTGCAGGCTGCAGGTCAGGCCTGGTGTGGTAGAGGGGAGAGGGGTCCAGGGGAAGTCCAGCTACCAGAGGGTCAGGAGCAGAATCAAGGGAAGTGTACTGGAGAAAAGAGAGGGCACCCAGGGCTGTGGCCTCAGAGCAGGGCTTTTGTTCTGTAGAAGAAATGGAATGGAGTCAGCTCCATACTCTTCACCACCTTGGCCTCAGTCAAGGCCTTGTCCACCTCCCCTGAGGTATCCATTAGAAGCCTATAGTTCATGACCAAAGTGAGGTCACCCCCTCAATCCCCTTCCCTGGGTTTCCCCCAGCTAGTCCAGTAAAGGCAAGAGGTGTGTAATGGAGGAGGCCCTACCTGGCGTTCCATCACAGAAAAGGTAGGGTCTGCCCCGTCTTGGGAGAAGAGTTGACTGTGAAAACGCATCTTAGCTGCAATGGCCTCCACTAAGGAGAGGAAAGAAGGTAGAATGGAAGCAGGCAGATGCTGGAGATCTCTCGGGATCCCATGGAAAGGGAACATCTCAGGGCCCTGGTATATAGCAGGGCAGGTGGGAGTGGGGTACTGTCTCATTCTGCTTGCTTATTCCTTGAGCTAAAGAATGTCCCTGGGGCTGAGACAGGTAGAACAGGCACCGTGGGGGGGTCCCTCAGGGAGTGGGAGAAGGAAGAAAGGCCCAGACTTGGGGTGATATAAACCTGTGCTGAGGAGGGGTCAGGAGATACCTGCAGAAGAAGGATGGACCCAGTGTGGACCACAGAGCTGACCCCTTTCCTCTCCCTTTGCCCAGCTGACAGGACCACGAGGGCTGGGGGCAGGTGGAACACACTCACTGAGGCAGGGGTTGTGGGAGAAGGACTCTTCCAGCTGCTCACACTCCTCCTGCAGGTTGCCACTGCCTCGGCAGGTGCAGCTTAAGGCAACACTGGTGTTGACGTTGCTGACAAAGTTGGGAGTCATGGCAGTCCCTGAGGGTAAAGAGAGGATTATCAGGGCCCAGGCCAACCCAAACTTCAACCCCCACTCTTTGACACTTGTCTCAGGACCATTCCACCTGGGTTCAATCTCCAGAGCATTTTCATCCCCAGGGACAGTCACCCTATGACTCCCTTTACACAGCACTCCAGCCTCTCACCAATGAGCCCCATGTATGAGCGCAGACATCTGGACTGTTCTGTTGCACAGGTCCCTAGGATGTCCAGAGGATGGCAGTGGGTCTGAAAATCCACCAGACGAGATCTGGAAAAGAGAAACTATGAGTCCTCATTGAGGGCCTGGTCTGCAACCTTCACCCTTGTTACCCCTTCAGCTCACATGCCCACCTTTATGCCAGATCCTCCTCTGTTTTCAAGACCTGGTCCAGGGCACCCCCCTCGGTGAAGCCTGTTTCTGTCCCGGTTAAATGCACTATCACCCTGTCCCTCAGAGCATACCACTTTGAATTCAGGTTCCATAATACCTAACTATGAAATTTCAGGCAGCTTCTTTAACCTCAATCTTCTCAACTATGAATAGAAATGAAAACAGTACTGGGGGCCTGGGTAGCTCAGTCGGTTGAGTGTCTGACTTTTGATTTCGACTCAGGTGGTGATCTCCGGGTCATGGGATCCAGCCTTGTGTCCGGCTTTGCGCTCAGTGCAGTCTGCTTGTCCCTCTCCCTCTGCACCTCCTCCTGCTCATTCCCTCTCTATCTCAAATAAATAAATAAATAAATACATAAATAAATAAATACATAAATAAACAAACAAACAAATAAATAAATAAAATCCTTTAACAAAAAAAGAAATGAAAACAGTACTTCCTCCTGGGTTTTTGTGAGGATGAAATAAGAGATTGCAAATACAGCATTGAGCATAGTGGTTGGTACAGACTAAGTATTCATTAAATGTTAGATACTGTTATTGTTCACACTGATTCTGTAATAGGTAAAGCTGATTATCTTTGGGTGATAGAATTACAAATAAATTTTTCTGTGCACACTTCTGTAACTTTCCTTACATTTTGCATTTTATCAGATGGGTGGTTTATTTCTCTCTCACCCCCACCCAAATGCAAATTCCTTGGAGGAAAGGACAGTATCTTAGTCATCTAGCCCCACACTAGCTCCATAATGGGAATAGCTAGGACCATAACAATAGGCAGTATATCTGAGTAGTTAGGCCAGACTTTATTCCAAACCTCATTAAGTAACCTGACTTATTACCTGGATGAACCTCAACAAACTATTTACACTTTTTCTGAAAATAAAATAAAATAAACTTTCTCTGCCGTGGTCCCTTCTTTGTAAAGTGAGGATGAAAAAAAAAAAAAAAACCCACCATCTATCTTACAGGGTTCTTGTAAGGGTTATGTGAGTTAATACTTATTAAGTACCCAAAACTGGGCAGCCCTGGTGGTCCAGAGGTTTAGCGCCACCTTCAGCCCGGGGCATGATTCTGGTGACCTGGGATTAGTCCCACGTCGGGCTCCCTGCATGGAGCCTGCTACTCCCTCTGCCTGTGTCTCTGCCTCTCTCTCTGTCTCATGAATAAATAAATAAAATCTTAAAAAAAAAAAAAAACTACCCAAAACAGTACTTAGCTCATAGTAAGTACTCAGTAAGTGTTAATGAAATGATGATTGAGAGCTTTTATGTGATAATTTAGAAAAGAAGAAAGTAGAGCTCAGAGAGGTTGGAGAGTTAAGTAATTTGCCGAAGGTTACAGAGAAATAGGGGGTAGAACCAGGCTGCAAAACAAGCTTGGGGTGACTCTCATTGTTAGCAAATGCTACCTGAATGGATAATAACTTCAATTCGGTGAGTGTTTTGTCATGAAGAGGCAGAGGAAAGCCAGATCAGAATTTCAAATTTTGTGGGGAATTATGTATCAAACGTCTTACAAATCATCATATACTTTGATTTGGTAATGGTATTTACAGCAACACGTCCTAAGTAATAATTAGATTTATGCACAAGAATGAACAAGAGTGATATTTACTGTAGTATTATTTATAGCAGGAAAGAAAGAAAACCTAAATATCCAACAGTAGAAGAAGGATTAAATAAAGTATGGGGCATCTATAAAATGGAATACAATGTAGGCATTTTGTTGTCCAAGGAGAGTAAAAGACAAAATAAGCACCACCATTTATTGAGCACTTACTCTGCACCAGTAAGCTAAGCACTCTGCATAAATTATGCCATTTAACTCTCACCAGAATCCCATGAGGTCTGTATTATTACTCCACTTTTTACAGAGGACTAAGAGGAACGTTAGGTTAAGTAATGGAGTTTTAGGTTAAAGGGATGGGCTCAAAGTCGCAGAGTCCCAGGATTTTATTTTATTTTATTTATTTATTTGAGAAGAGAGAGGCAAGGGGAGGCAGATGAAGAAGGAGAAGCAGATTCCTTGCTGAGCAGGGAGCCGGATTCCGGGCTGGATACCAGGACCCTAGGATCATGACCTGAGCTGAAAGCAGCCACTTAACCAACTGAGCCACACAGGGGCCCGGAGTACCAGGATTTAAATTCATATCGGTCTGCCTCGGGAGCCTGTCTTCACCACTAGTCCTTCCTGCCTTGGCCGGTGAGATGTGCACATAAGTGAAAAAAAGCGGGATACAAGTATATTTCTAGAATATCATTTTGTTTCTCTGTATACAAAAAGAGACTAGAAGGAAAGGTTCCCCAAAGTGTATGGATCATCTTCAGGGGATGGATTCTGAGTGTTATTTTATACTTTTTTATATTTTCTGAAGTTTTTACACACAGTTGTGGGGTTTTTGTTTGTTCGTTTTTTTGAGAAAAGGGTTCCCCAAAATACTGATGGGAGCTCCCGGGTGAAGTCAGTCCCCAGTCACCAGGGGGCAAGCCCAGCGCAGCCCAGGAAGGGGGCTGGGAAGGACCGGTGCGCACTGCGCCCTCTGCCCGCCCTGCCCATCCGCACCCGCACCCGCACCCGCACCCGCACCTGCACAGCGGGTCAGAGACGCAGTCGCGCCGCAGCTGCAGGCAGTTGGGGGCCCCCGCCGGCAGCGCGCAGCCGGGGGCGATGGTGTTGCGCCGCCGTCGCCCGCAGCCCTGGTCGGAGGGCGCGCAGGGACACAGCAGCAGGCCCTGGGCGTGCGGCTCCGACGCCTTCGCAAAGAAGGCGCGCAGCTGCCGGAGGCAGGTGCGGCGCTGGCAGCGGGACCCCGAGCACGCCTCCGCGTAGGCCTTGCGCAGCCGGTCACACTTGTCGTTAAGAGTGCAGAGCATGGCGAACTTGAGGCAGAGATCTGAGTCTGCGGGCAGAAGGGCACCAGGTCACCAGTCGTCTCCGCAAACGTGTGGCCCAGTGTAGCCAGGAACCCCTGCCACCCTGAATACGGCCGCCGCTAACCCGGGGCTCCTCCGGGCTTTCCCACCACCCACAAACTCTGGTATTTGTGGTCCTCCCTCAGCCTAGTCTTCAGCTTGCCTGGGTGTGAAAAAAAAAAAAAAAAAGGAGAAGCAGCAGCAGCTCTATAGATATAGATATCTCTCTCGTTTATCTAGCATTAAAGTGGCCAGAAAGCTGAAAGTTAACTCCTCCATCCTCAATCCCACAAAATCTCATGGTGGAAATCACCATGTTTGTTTTGCATCCATTCTGTACCCTGTCTGTCTTTAATGATTGATGCATGATGCCTAACCACTCCCTATACTCTGAGTCCTGGGAAATTATGGTGATATTTCTATTAACAGAATATTCCAGCAGTCAAAACAATAAAGTATTCCCAGATTCCCTGTAACAAAGAGTTTATGTATTAGTCTCTATGCTTTTCTCTGAAAATTCTAATCCCACTACAGGCTTGACTGTGCAACAAAGTTCACATCTTTCTCAAAAAGTGAGTGCATGCGTGTGTGCTCCTTTCCAATTAACACAACAGCCTCACTTTCCTGAAAAACATGCATTTTAGTCCTTGCTAGACAGATGGCTCCCACCCTGAGTCACCCCTGAGGAGTTACCGTCTCTCTCACCATGTTCCCTGCCGGATACCTCACCCATTTCATTAGAATGGTTTGAAAACAAGCAATTTCCTAGTCTTCAGGGACAGATTGCTACTTTCCTGGCTGCCTCGAATAAGGGTAAATACTACATTTCAGCATATTTTTTTCTGGGATGGCTGCCACCCCACCAAACCCTTTGTAGAGACCGATCTTTTGGAACCTGGGAGCCCTAATAGGCTACCTTCAAATGCCTCCCTAATACCTATGGCTCTTTGATGACTTACAAGACTATGCCATGCCTACAGCTCAAACTGCCACCCTGACACAATGCTTCTTTAGTCACCTGGCAGACTAGAACTTTCCCCCATCGCACCCTTTGGTTTTTGTTTCCCACCAGCTACCCTCCCTCCTTGCAGGGTCCAGGCCTGCCCCTCACTCCCCAGCCTCGGCTTGCCCTCCACACCTGGTTTGAGCATGTTCAGTTTGCTGAGATTCATTTTCCAGGGTTTTCTGGTCACTGTGTCTTCATAGGGGAAGACATCCAGTTCATAGTCACCTAGAGACAAGGCAACAAGAATCTTGAGGACTGGGCTGGGGGAGTGGCAGCAGGAGGGGCTGAAGCTGCTAGGTCAGCCCTCAAAGCCCTGTGGAAAAAAGGAAAAGGCACAGTCTCTACCTAACTAGCTGCAAGCTGTTCAGAGGTGACAAAAAGCAAAACAAGGACATAAAGTTGGAGGCTGGGCTCAATGAATACACCGGGTTTAACTACGAGAAGAATAAAGTTACCATGTGTTGAGTACACTGTGTGCTGGGTACCAGGGTATAAGTAAAAAAGAATAAAGAATTCAATCTCACTTAATTGTCCTAGAAGCTTTTGAGTAGGTAAGAAGAAATAGGCTGAGGAGAGGTTAAGTCACTTTCTCAGGCTCACAGAGGCTAAAAAGTAGAGCTGGGTCTTGAAGCCTACACTATCTGATTCCAGAGTCTCCACTCCTAACCACTAACCACATGGCCTACGGGTACCTAAGCAGGCAAGGGAACTCTATCTTGTTTTCTTCTACTGTTGAGGAAGGGGCAGTAGAAGACCCTGTCTGAGGCCTGACCTTGTAGCTATGGATTCATGTTGAGGAGGCAAAGTGAGGCTGAGTCTCAAAGCACAGAACTCTGGGAGAGACAATGATCTCAAAGGAAACATATCTTTCCCAGTCACCCCCAGGGTGCTGTGGGTTCCTGCAGGGGACATAAAAGGTCCTATAAAGTCACTGTATAGCTCATACACATGGCGGACCCTCAATAAAAGCTGGCTAATAAATCTTGTTAGAAGAGAGAGGTGAGACAATGCAAGGTGTCACCCAATATGCCTTTGAGAGTGCATCTTTAGGAAAGAAGAAATATGGATGAGATCAAGCAAACAGGAAAGGGTGGTCAAGATATTTGGGGATATCTGAAAGCTCCCAAGGGAAAAAGTGGGAAGGCAAGAGATCCAGGGAGAAGTCTCTGGGGAAGTTCTGAAAGAGAACTGATTAGGATGAGGAGTAGAAACAAGGAACAAAAATTATGGTAAATTGTAATATTGTTTCCAGTTATAGCTAGGTATGCACCCTGTGAGAGGATTATACAACCAGCCCCTTTTCCCCCTTGCCATGTGACTCTCAGGCCCCCTAGAAGAGGAGTACACTTCCACACCCTACTGCAAGCAAGGATTGCCTGTGGGACCTGCTTTGGCCTATGGATGGTGAGCTGAAGTGACATAAATCACATCTGGGGAGAAGCTTTAAGAACCATCATGTGGGGCAGCCCCAGTGGCTCAGTGGTTTAGCACTGCCTTCAGGCCAGGGCCTGATCCTGGAGACCTGGGATAGAGTCCCATGTCTGGCTCCTTGCATGGAGCCTGCTTCTCCCTCTGCCTGTGTCTCTGCCTCTCTCTCCCTCTCTCTCCCTGTGTCTCTCATGAATAAATAAATAAAATCTAAAAAAAAAAAAAAAAAGAACCGTCACGTGGTCCTGTGGCTGCTCTTTTCCCTCTTTCAGCCTGGGTCCTCGAAAGAAGAAGACAGGTAGAGAGGGGAAAGACAAAGCCAACTCAAGGAAGCCCACAGCAGGTGTGTAACATGAACAGAAAAGAGATTTTTGTTATAGAAGGCCCCTTTACGTGGGGGTTGGTTAGTTTTTACTACAACATAATCTAGCAAATTCTTATTAAAAATGTAACTGATATTTAGAAATGAGTGCGGCAGTAACAAAAAAAAAATCTAAAATGTGTGGTATTGCCTTTGGGGCTGGGCAATGAATGGCTGGTGAATAAGCTGTGTCTGGGATATGGAAAATAGGAGTCTTCAATATGTAGTGTCAAAGCCTTTGGTAAAATTGTTGCCTGCAATAATTTGCAAGGAAGATGTACTGAATGAGAATGCGCTTTAAAGGAAAGAAGTGGAGAAGCAGTCCAGTATGACTAGTATGTCTTGATTGCTACTGGCTGCATTTTGCCAGGTACTACAAGAAAGATAAAAGTTCAGGGCAGAACTGGCCAGTTTGCAAATAGGGAGGAAAAAGAAAAGAAAAAAATCCAGAAATTCCAGGATTTGTAGGATTAAGAGATGCAATTGCATATCCTTCAAATAGTAAAATATAAAATTGAAAGAGGTTTTGAGTAATAAGGTGATCCCAACTCAGCATGCACCAATTCAATGATTATGGCTACCACACCCTTTGTGATCTCTCACTGATGAAGATGGTATTAATAAATCCTTCCAGACAGACAAATATGCTCAGAGAAAGACTAGGGTAGTGGCCCTTCCACAGAAGCCTGATAAGAGCAAGATACTTTTTTTTTTTTTAAGATTTTATTTATTCATGAGAGGCACAGAGAGAGGCAGAGGCAGGAGAAGCAAGCTCCTTGTGGGGAACCTGATGCAGGACTCGATCCTGAGACCCAGAGATCACAACCTGAGCTGAAGGCAGATGTTCAACCCCTGAGCCACCCAGGTGGCCCTCCCCAAGAGCAAGACACTTCTAATTAGATCTAGAGACACATGTCTTGAATTATAGGGAAGGCTATTGGCCCATGAGGTGACAGAAACCAAAGATACAAAAAGCAATCAAGTTTTGAGAATGTTGTACTGCCAAGAGCCACCAGCCTGGATTTAAATAGACTCTCTGGGAGTCTTAAAATGCACCAACATTCCTCAGGTAGGAAGCCTCAAGGAGGTGGTAGTCTCCAATACCCTTCTCAGACAGGGCCAAAGAAAACAATGGAGAAGAAAGGACCTGCCAGGGGCACAGGGGCTAGGCCAAGAGTGTTGGAGAACAACAGATAAAGCAACTCTCAGAAGGAGCAAAAGCAGAGCCTTATTAAGGAGCAGCACCACTACCAAGGGAGGATGGCCCCTACGACAACCAACAACGTGCATGCAGTAGGACCTCAGTGGAACAGCTCTGGGGCAACGTCTGCCATGTGCTCCCCACTGCTCCCCTTTCTGAAAGTTCATTGTGGTTCTCCTGTCCCTGTTCCACTGTTGTACAAGGAGTATATATTAGAGGCAGGTGACCTGTCTTTTTTGTCCATAAGTAGCTAGATCAGATCAAGAGGAGTCATATCCAGACCCAACAGAGAAATTATCATAAGGTCCTAGACTGGTAGCCTGATACACTGTTTGGCTAGAACTCTTAGGGGATCTTCCTTAGAAAGTGGGTTGATGGGTGCCTGGCCGGCTCAGTTGGAGGAGCACACGACTCTTGATCTTGGGGTTGTGAGCTTGACCTCCATGTTTGGTGTAGAGATTACTCAAAAATAAAAAATCTGAAAGGAAGAGGGGGGGGGGAGAGAAGGAAGGGGGAAGGAAGGAAGGAAGGAAGCTAGTTAGTTGATACATTTTGCTTGTGGAAGAGAGAGAAATGACTATTTTAACCTGGGACTCTGGGAAATTGTATATTATCTCCGACTATTTTTGCCCTCCCTGTAAGATTAGATGTCTTCACTTATTGCCCCATGATTTTCAGGGTCTCCTGTGGGAGAAGTATACATCCAGAGATGTCAGGCTTGGTCACATGATCTGCTTTGTTCATGAAATGTGAGGCCTATGTATTTCATGTAACATTTGAGTAGAAGCTTTTAAAGGCACCTGCCATTGCTCATTCCCTTCTGCCATGAAAAAAGAACATCCCAGACAGAGGCTGTACCTTCAGCCTGGATTCCAGAATGAAGTGCACACATGGCATAGCTAACACAGCACATGAGCAAGAACTAAATCTTTGTTTTATAGGTCATGGTTCTGTTACTGCAGCAGAGTCCAGTGAAAGCTGACGAACATGGAAAGGAATCACTGGAAAGAGTCAAAGGAAGCTCCCCTCTCTCTGGTTCCTCCAGTGCCTTCTCTCTTACTATCTTCTGTCTGTTGATGAGTGTCCTTTCTGTGAAAGGCAGGACCAGGACATCACCTCCCCGTCTCTCTGAACTTCCTGATTCCACTGTATTTGGAATCTGTGATGGGGTTAAGATCATTTCCCTCCTTGTCCTGTCCATACTCTGCTATTCCAGGAGCCATCCAGGTTGGGCCTCAGCCTGGTACAGAGCTCTGCTAGGAGGCAGCTACATACTACTAGGCAAGAAAGGGGGAAGTGGGGAGGAGAGGGCAGTGCTGTGGATGCCCAGGATACTGCCGATTCCTCCCTCTACTCCTTACTGATATCAAATGCAGAGCTTTGTTACCACCCCACTCAGAATCCACCCATCTAGCCTATATTCTGCAGGATTAAACAACAACCCACAAGAGCCACCTTCTTTAGCCAAATTCACTCTACAACGGGGGCCTCACCAAGCCTGCGGGCAAGGTGAACAGTCCAGTAGATGTCCAGGCAGGCGACTTGGTTCTTCATGTGCCGGTGGCATGTACAGCTCATCAGAGAGCTATTCTTGAGGTGCTGTGCTGCCTCCCTGCACTCTTCAGGGACCAGAAACTCCTGCACGGGTGATGGGGTGCTTACACTAGAGGTGCAGGAATTCAGGTAGTGGTAGGCAGCACTGCAAATAGGATCGACTTGGCATTTCCTCTTGGCCTGGATACAGTTTACCAGTCGGCCTTCGGTGGGGAGGGGGTCTGTGGTGGAGAAAGAGAGACCAGGTGAGGATCACATATGGTCGCAGGAGCTACCTGGGAGTGGCAAGTTGTAGAGTAGAGTAGGATCACATATGGTCGCAGGAGCTACCTGGGAGTGGCAAGTTGTAGAGTAGGGTAGGGGGAGGGATTCAAGACAACCTTGGGCAGCAAAGTTTTGGGGTGTCCCAAAGGCCTTTAGGACTAAGTGAGGAGAAGAGCCCTATAGGAGTCAAGAATCCACAGCTGTCACAGTATGGACAGAGCAGATCAGGTCCAAGAAGAGGTGGGTTTGAAGAGAAGCTGCTCAGCCTCCTGGGAGAAGGAGGGGGACTATTTTTTGAAGCTGAACCTGGTGACCCTGCCAGGCACAGGAAAGAAGGCTCTTGGCAGAGGAATGCATGGGCAGGTCTAGTATCATAACCGGAGACATGGCAACACGAATGGGAGTGCAACAACTCTGAGGCTTCCACTCAAAGCCATTTAAAAATACCTTCCAGAGGGAATGAGCTGGTGTTGGGGGAGCTGTTGCTGATTCTGTCACTCAAAAATACCAAGGTTGGTTATAGTTTAGCCTTCATGGACAGCCCTACATCCTAGGACTTAGCACCTCTATCAAATGGTAACAAGAAGGCCATTATGTCATAAGCTTTACAAGGTGAAACTTCTATGAGTCATTTTTAATTCTTCTCTTTCCTTCACATCCTATGTTCAACCCAAGTCCTGTCAACTCCACAAATATTAGGAAGCTGTCCGCTTCTCTCCACATCTATCACCACCTCCTTAGCTCAAACCACCATCAACTCCTGTCCAAACTACTTCCAAGACGATTGGTCTCCTCGATTCTATTTTCCAAATTCATTCTCCCATACCATTCAGCCATCTTTTGTTGTTTTCCAGCTTTATTGAGAAATAATTAACATCTAACATTGTGTAAATTTTAGCTGTGCAATGTGATGATTTGATTCGTGTATATATTGTGCAGTGATCAACCCAATAAGATCAGTTAATACATCCTGTACCTCATGTTAACTCCTCTCCCACTTCCTTCCACCCACACCTGCCTTCTGTTGCCACTGACCCAGACAAACCTGTGTGAACCTTAGCATTTTTGCCTTAGCCTTTCTTTCTGCTTGGAATGCTCTTCCCCTGATCTTCACATGGCTGGCCCCTGCTGGTAATTCACTTTTCAGCCTAAATTTTACCACAGAAAGACCATCCACAACAAATCAGAGTAAAATAACCCCCTAGCTACTCTATCACATCATTACTCCAAGACCCTGCGTAGCACTTTCTATCACTTGATTTTTTTTAACTTGATTTCTTATGACATATATTTTTTAAAAGATTTTATTTATTTATTCATGAGAGACACACACACAGAGAGAGAGGCAGAGACACAGGCAGAGGGAGAAGCAGGCTCCATGCAGGAAGCCCAATGTGGGACTCGATCCCGGGGTCATGCCCTGAGCCGAAGACAGACACTCAACCACGGAGCCACCCAGTATCCCATTAACTCGATTTTTTACTGATTATCTCCCAGTCTAGACTTCCACATCTCTCTTATCACTGCTCTGTCACCAGTGCCTAGGATAGTGCTTGTTTTTTATGAGCTCCTACTATTTATGAAATAACCAAATAACAGAGAAATTCTGTGGGCCACCTCTCTAACTTCTCTGAGCCCCTTCACTCTACTTAAAATCAAAGTGCTAAAATTAGGAGGGGCCTGAGTTTAGTTAGTCCAAACTTCTCTTCCAATCAGATGATAATCAAGTAGATTACTTATTAAAATGCAGATTTCTGATGCCACCCTAGAACTACTGGATCAGAATTTCTGGTGATAAGGCCTGAGAATCTGAGTTTTAGCAAGTTCACTAGAAAATATCATGCACCCTGAGAAGTGATCATTTCCAATGCACAACAAAGGCAGGATCAGTAGTATTGATTACACCTTTTGCTTCAGGTTCCAATAAGCTTCAGCGTGGCATCACATTTTTATTTACATTTTTGATATTTTGCTCATCGTGCATTTTGGGGGGATCATTGGTTTTGATTTTTAGTATACATGCTGCTGAAGTGAGCACTAATTTTGACTTTAAAAAAATACACTGGGCAGCCCTGGTGGCGCAGCAGTTTAGCGCCGCCTGCGGCCAGGGGAGTGATCCTGGAGACCCAGGGTCGAGTCCCAGGTCGCTTCCTGCATGGAGCCTGCTTCTCCCTCTGCCTGTGTCTCTGCCTCTCTCTTGCTCTCTCTGAATGAATAAATAAATAAATCTTAAAAAAAAAATACTACACTGAGAGGCACCTCGCTGGCTCAGTTGGTTGAGCATGCAACTCTTGATATTGGGGTTGCAAATTCAAGGCCCATGTGGGGTGCAGAGATTACATAAAAAAATGAAATAATTGGGACATCTGGGTGGCTCAAGCAGTTGAGCATCAGCATGATGACCTTTGGCTCAGGCATGGTCCTGGAGTTCTGGGATCGAGTCCCACATGGGGCTCCTGCATGGAGCCTGCTTCTCCCTCTGCCTATGTCTCTGGCTCTCTCTGTGTCTCTCATGAATAAATAAAATCTTAAAAAAGAAAACAACGAAATAATCTTTTTAAAAATACTGCATTAAAATATTCTTTATCTTGACTACTATTTCTTGGTATCTCCTTCACTCCTTCACCTCAGTTCCAATCTTGCATAGGGCAATTTACTTCACTTTCTGGACCTTAGTTGCCCAAATGTAAGGTGAGCGATTTGGATTAAGCCAGTGTTTCTCAAAGGAGGGCTAGGGAAGAGACAGGTTAGGCCCCTTTAATAGGGATATAATTTCCAAAGGTGGGGCATCAGGGTGGCTCAGATGGTTAAACATCTGCCTTTGGCTCAGGGATTGAGCCCCACATCGAGCCCCACATTAAGCTTCCAGCTCAGTGGGGAGTCTGCTTCTCCCTCTCCTTCTGCCTCTCTCTCTGCTTGTGCTCTCTCTGTCTCTCTCTCAATCTCTCAAATGAATAAAGAAAAAATATTAAAAATATATACATAAAAAATGTCCAAATGTAATGGGTGGTTCAAAAAAGCTATTTGATCATTATATATGTGGAAGATGAAAAAACAACTATTGAAATTTCAAAAACAGATTTAGGGAAGGCATGAGATATTTATCTTTACTAAAAGGAAAACAGATTTAAACAGTTTGCAAAATACTAAATGTTTAAGATGTTACTTCTGGTAGGTATATCTAGTAAGTACTTAATGAAAGAAATGTAAAAAAAAGTCCAAATCTCATTGCTTAAACTGGACTAAATATTGAATCAACAATTCTCAAAAGTAAATCTCTCCGGGCGGCGCTTGGGGGGCTCAGGTCATGATCTCCAGGTTCTGGGATCAAGCCCCACGGTACCAGCATGGGGCTTCCTGCTCAGAGCAGAGTCTGTTTCTCCCTCTCCCTCTCTCTCTGCTCCTCATTCATGCTCACTCTCTCTCTCAAATATGTAAGAAAAAAATATATATACTTTTTAAAAGTAAATCTCTCTTATTTCATAGTTGATAGTTCACTGAATCCGAAGAGCAGTGGATTTAGGAGCAATTGCAGCTCAACAAAAGAAGGTAGGGGCAATGTTAAATTTCATCATAAGTGGGGGAACTTGTTCCACTTTTTTTTTAAATTTTATTTATTTATTCATGAGAGAGGCAGAGACACAGGCAGAGGGAGAAGCAGGCTCCATACAGGGAGTCCGACATGGGACTCGATCCCGGGTCTCCAGGATCACGCCCTGGGCTGAAGGCCCTGCTAAACCGCCGAGCCACCCGGGCTGCCCATGTTCTACTTAATTGGTTAATGAGGAAGGTGTTGCCTGTTTATCCCCGATCTTGATGTGCAGCTATACACTGAGGTTAATGAAATTTTCTGGGCGGTCAAATCAGCCTGGCGATACCTTGCTGCCCTATTTTCCTGATGGAACCACTCGGGACAGACCAGCGCTTTCCCTCTCCCGTTTCTGTTTTGCAGTAAAGACTGCAGGTCTGCGGTACTACTTCGTGGACGAGGTGATGGTCCCGCGCGGCGTCTGCCTCAGCACTGCCTCCACCCAGGCTCTGTGCAGGAGCCCCACGATGAGATTCCATGCACCCCTCCCACCCCGAAGGTCTTGGGCATGTTCCCTGAGATCCTGGACCCCACACTACCCTGCCGGGGAACTGGCATGGTCCTAAAGCCAGGCCTTGAACTGTACGTCCACAAACTGTCCACTGTATGTAGAACAGGGCAGGCACCGTGCTGAGCCATTTTCCCCTATAGCGAGTTTTCTGCTCCGGCTAAAACAATAAAAATGGGTCCTGAAGGCGGGAGGGGCGGGGAGAGGTTGGTGGTGAGAAATGTCCTCAAATAATGATGGTAGCAAGTTCTAGCAGCAGTCTACAACCCGCATTTGCGATAAGTCAGTTTTAGCACGAACTCGTCTTTCTTCGCCTGTACGTGGTGCCCGCGTCCCCAGTCCCTACGCGAGGGGAAGCGTTGAACCCACGCGGGGCAAACGGCGGTCCCGCCTCCTCGGGGTGCCGTCGTGGGGCGGCCCGGCCCCGACGCTTCTGTCCGTGCAGACGCAGCTCAGCAGAGGGGCGCGGGGTGGGGGACGGCGAGGAGATGCTGCTGCCCCGGCCGCCGCCGCCGCGGGCCTTCAGTCCGCCGTAGTTGGTGAAGTGTACCCGGAGGGAGGGCATGCCCTCCCTGGCGCCCCGGGGCTCCTCCCCCCGACAGCTGGGACCCCGCGACGCGGTGCCCGAGCCCCCGGGTGCCGTGAGCCCCGCTCCCGCCCTCCCGCTAGCGGCCCTGCCCGACCCGCGCACTCGCCACTCACCAGCCCCGAGCGGCCGCGGCAGCGGCAGCAGCAGCAGCAGCAGCAGGAGCGGGAGCAGGAGCGCCGTCGGCGGGGCCCGCGGGGTTGGGGGACGCCCCATGGCTCGGTCCACTCGCCGCCCCGCAGCTTCCCGGCCTCCGCGAGCCGCCTCCAGGGCCGCCCCTGCCTCCCCGCGCCCGCCCGCGCGCTCTCTCCCGCCGGGGCCGGGGCGCCGCCCTCCGCCTCCCGGGCGCACCGAGCTAGCTCCTCGCCGCTCCCGCCGGGGGCAGGAGGCGGCGGGGCGGGCGGGGGCACCTGCGAGCTGCTGGCCGCCCCCCGGGGGAGGCTTCTGCCCCAGACAGTCGTGGCCGCTGCTGCTGGAGAGTCGCCGCCTTGGGCGACTCCAGGATTTATCCAGAAAAGCGCTGTTTCTCACTTGCTGGAGCTCCCACCCCCTCCCCTACACTCGCTCCAGGAACCTCAAGCGGAATCTTGCAGCAAAACTCGAACTAGCACAAGGGCAGTTTAACTTCTAGTATTTATTTTTCCGATTAGAATTTGCACACCCATCCTCCATTTCCCCTCCTAAGTAACCTCAAGGATAAGCTCAGACTGTTATCATTAACCCCACAATTCTGCAAAGGTAGGTCCCAGACAGGTGAAGTGGCTGGGCAGAAGGCGGTCTTGTGGCCAGACCCAGGATCTATGTCAGACTAGCCTCCTCCAAAATTCAGTGCAAAGAGGGAGCGTGGGAGGATCAAACCCTCCTCAGATTAGAATATTCCCTGGAGGAATGACAGGATCGCTGAGGAAGGTGGCTAGAAAGACCTCCTCATCTTTAGGTAATGTTCCAGAAAGCACCTGCTCTACCAGGATTAAACAGCGAGGTAGAAACCCATCTGTGCCCAGAGCCCAGAATCTCTCCCCACAAGGGTAAGAGTATTTGTTGGATCTAGGGTTGATTCCCACCTGCTGCCCGGGTAAAAACAGAGGCACAATGACTTGGAAGAATAAGCAGTGCTCAGATAGAAAATGATGAAAGCCAAGTGGGGGTCTTTGCCCCCTACCCCTGAAGCCCAAGCCCTCTCCTCACTTGTACAGAGGCCTGGCAGAGGGCCAGGAGTGGGGTACTGAGAAGTGCAATATAAAGCTCTGAGATTTATTGGCTGCTGCTTCTGAATATGGCCATCCTGCTGTGGCCTCTGGGGGGCATTTGTCGATGTAATCAGCCCAGAAAGAGAGTCATTCCAGCCAGGGGTGTAAATCACCCTTCACAAAGCTAGGAGGGAGACATGTGGCCCTAGATAAGGAAGAAGAGATGTGGCCTCTTGTGCCCTTTCCTCCCTTCTCCTGCCCAGGGGGAGCTAGTTCCTGAGCTGTAATGCACTTTAAATGGAGTTTGTGCTTCGCTTTAATCTCTATCTGCCCTGCCAGTCTTCCAGAAGAGCTGTGAAAGTGAACATCTGGCTACTCAGCTTTTGTACAGGGCCTGTTTTCCGCCAGCTCCATACTACCTCCTTATAACTTCTCCTCCAGTAAGATTAGAGAGCTGACCTGGGGACAGATAGCCCCCCACTGTCCACTCCACTCTGGCAATAGTTTCAGAATGGAATTTAAAAGCAAAGGGTAACAACATCAAAATTTTATTTACTTATTTGAGAGATATAGAGAATATGTGTGTACGTGGGGAGGGGTGGAGTGGCGGAGGGAGAGGAAGAGAGAAACTCAAGCTGACTCCGAGAGCTTGGAGCCTGACTCGGGACTTGATCTCATGACCCTGAGATCTGACCTGAGATGAAACCAAGAGTTGGACGCATAACCAACTGCACCACCCATTCACCCTAAAAGGTAACAATTTCAGATGGCTGGGATGCTAGGAAACGGCTCAGAGATGTGGGAGGGCGAGATGAGGGGTGTCACCTCTGCTCTCCCCCTCCTTCAGCAACCAAGCCTAATCAAGTTTGGCGGCAGAATAGGCTGGGGAAAAAGCATGTGCTCAGAATGCATACTCTAAGTGTCTATTCAGTGCCATCCCTATGGAATGGACAAGGAAGGTACAAAGTCAAACTGCTAGGCTAAGACCAATGCCCAATTCCACCTGTTAACAGGCCAGCCTTTTTGTGAGAATGAGATGCTGGAGCAACTTTCCATGTGGGCAGTAGAGAGCCTGACATCAGTAGGCCTTGAATGATGATTGGAAACCAGAGGTAGGAGAGGGATGAGGAAGACTCTGCAAATAAATATGACTCCAACATTTATACTGACAGCTCTTTCAGCACACACTCTCCCTACCAACCATGTCCCCTGTGACTGCCAACACGTGCTAGATAAGCAGCATTGCCTTTGGGAATCTTGTGGATAAAGACAAATGAGTCTGTCCTTTCTACAAAGACAATGCTACTCAGCTGTCATTCAGTTCAATGTCTTTTGAGACTGGTTATGGGTTTAACTTTGTACCAGGTGCAACAATGATTAAGACACAAATCCTGCTCTGGGAGGCTTTGCAATCCACTGATTGGGTTCAACAGTCTAAAAAACCTTGCATCTTACTCCACCTTCATTTGTAGTCATGGTTTTCTGCATTCTAGCAAGCCCTCTGAATAAATGGTATCATTTCCAGGGGGCATGCAGGAGTTAATTTTTCTGTGATCTTGGCCTGCCCCCAACCACCAGACTTGCTGCTTTGGAGCTGTAGGCTATAGTACCTCTTTCCTTTGCTAGTGGGCCAGACTGCTTATAGGGATGGGAGAAAAAAGGAGGAATCATTTCCTACCTTGTCAGTCTCTTGATGGCAGGGACAGTATCATAATTGAATACCTGTGGTACTTAGAATTGACAACCCCAGATATATGTTTAAGGGAATTGGTGTTTCTTCAACATTTGCCTGAACTGAATGGGGAAAGAGAATCTTCTATACTTTCTCCCAACTTTATATTGATGAGGAAAGGAAAATGTTCCTCCCCTCTCTATGGCAGAGGTCAGCCGGGTCCTGAGCTGAGATCGAAAACCACGTTTTTAGAAAGGTTTCCAACCTTCCTTTCTTGACTTTATGATGAACAAATACAGTCAGTGTTAGTGTAGAGCTAACCAGCTCTGTGGTTCATGCGAAGGTCTCTGGGCTGGGGTCTTAGCCCTTAGCCTCACCTGCTAAGCCCATGTAACCCTTATGGCCCTGACTTCTTAAGAAATGTATAATTGAGGCTCTTACATATTTAACATCTAATACAAGGCCACTCTAGAAAGGCACACTGTTCTTTGATGAGGATTTGGTAACAGTGAATCCATTCAAGGTACAAACACTGGAGCCATACTGCCCAGATTCAAATCCCAACACTGTCAGCATTAGCTGTGTGATCTTAAAAAGTTACTTAATCCCTATTTCTCAATTTATCTGTAAAATGTGCACAATAAGTACCCGTGTTACAGAATTATTGTGAAAATTAGCTTATACATATAAAATGAGTTTGTAAAAAGTCTTGCATATAGTAAGCACCTGAAAAATGTTTACTATTATTCCTGAAAATAACATGAATCAAATTACATGGCACCTATGCAATGGAAGGATATTACAAGATATTATATAGGAAAATGGTGCCTTTTGGGCAAATACTATTTTTTTTCACAAAGCAGATAAACTAATTAAGCCCTAGTTTTCATTTTGCAACTCAGAATTTCCACTTATTTTTTTTAATTTTTATTTATTTATGATAGTCAGAGAGAGGGGCAGAGACATAGGCAGAAGGAGAAGCAGGCTCCATGCACCGGGAGCCTGACGTGGGATTCGATCCCGGGTCTCCAGGATCGCGCCCTGGGCCAAAGGCAGGCGCTAAACAGCTGCACCACCCAGGGATCCCGAATTTCCACTTAATTAAGATTACTGAAATGTGAACCTGTGTAGCAGTCTCTTCCCAGGAGAGGGAGGGGCTTGGTTCTACTTTTCTGAAGAAAATGATCAGGAAATGACCCACTAGGTTAGGCAATGAATCAGGGGACCCCCTCTTCATACTTGGAGGTGGAAGTGCTTCATTTTTCTCAGGGTGCCTGTTTGGCAGTGGTAAGTATGTGGTAGTGGGATGGAGGAGCAGAATATTCTCCAAATCCACCTAATATGGAAACAGCTTTTCTCTCCTTGCCCCTCAGCCCTTCTGAGCTCTGAGCTCAAAGGCTCCAGGAGAAGGCCAGGTAGCTTCGCTCCAGAAGCTGCCTTAAAGAGTACAGCAGTGCCCTCTGCTGGGTGGCGCACGCACGACAGGAGAACCGCACTGGCGAATCTTAAAAACACCAGTCCAGCCACTGCCCTGGTTTCCTCCCACTCACCTAAAAAAGGTCTCCGTAAGGGACACCTAACTGCCTCAGTGGCTGAGTGTCTACCTTTGGCTCAGGTCCTGATCCCGGGGTCCCGGGACCAAGTCCCGCATTGGGCTCCCTGCATGGAGCCTGCTTCTCCCTCTGCTTGTCTCTGCCTCTCTCTCTCTCTCTGTGGCTCTCGTGAATAAATAAATAAAATCTTAAACAAAAACAACAAAAAGTCTCCCTGCTCCAGAACCTGGGAAGAGGTCACTTTTGTCTCATCTCAGCCAAGCTTCAGAGCCTCTCTGTCCTTTTCTAGTTCTGGGCTATCATTGCTACTAGGTTAATGCAGGACAGTGACAATACTTAGTAAATTCCACTGCCACCCTGGGCTATAGGGCTGTATCTCACTACGAAACCTACTTGCCTTCAAGAACTCTAAGAATGGAAAGCCTGCAATAGTGCTGAAGAATGCAGTTTAGGTGGTCTTCCTTAGGGCGACTGGGTGGCTCAATCAGTTAAGCATCTGCTTTGGCTCAGGTCATGATCCCAAGGTTTTGGGATTGAACCCCGAGTCAGGTTCCCTCCTCAGCGAGGATCTTGCTTCTCCCTCTCCCTCTGCCTGCCTCTCTGCCTACTTGTGTTCTCTCTCAAGTAAATAAATAAAATATTTTAAAAAATAAAAGGTCTTCCTTAAGTACCCTTGCTTGCTACTTTTGTATCCTTTTATTTCTATCTTCAGACAGCACAGATTTCTCTTTCCAACTATCCCAAGTCTTAAACTTATCTCTGTGAAATGTGAAATGAAGTCAAGGAAAGAGTTGGGAAATGGAAAAAGTCAAAATTCCATTGAGGCTGGAGATAAGGAATCTTTTCAAGCCCAACTCAGACCTATAACCTGCCTTAGAGATGCCAGTCACCTTGGTTTTCTGAGCCTAGTTATCAGGCTGCTGAGTGTGAGGCACACTTTCACGTAACTCATACCATAGAAAGGAAAGCTGGGATATTGCTAAAGAATGCAATTGAAATGGTTTTCCTTAAGGGGCACCTGGGTGGTTTAATTGGTGGAATGAGTCCTGCCTCCAGCTCTGCACTGGGCAGGGGGATTCTCTCTCTCTTCCTCTGCCCCTCTTGCACCCCTCTCTCCACCCTACCCCCTACCCTCACTTAAAAAAAAAAAAAAGTTTTCCTTAATTCCACAGCAGTGGTTCTCAAGCCTCAGCATACATCAGAATCACCTGAAAAATTTTAAAACCCAGAATTCTGAGCCCTCAGGGGTTTTGATTTAGTAGATCTGCCGTGAGGCCTGAAAATTTAAATTTGAAAAAAGTTTAGGGATCCCTGGGTGGCGCAGAGGTTTGGCGCCTGCCTTTGGCCCAGGGCGCGATCCTGGAGACCCAGAATCGAATCCCACGTCAGGCTCCTGGTGCATGGAGCCTGCTTCTCCCTCTGCCTGTGTCTCTGCCCCCCCCCCCCCTCTGTGTGACTATCATAAAAAAAAGAAAAAGAAAAAAGAAAAAAAAGAAAGAAGTTTAGATGATGCCTAGGGTCCAGGGCCCAAACTTTGAGAACCACTGGTCTAGAGAAAAGCATCTTGTTTCCAGCTATAAATCGAGATGGTTATACCTTTGCTTGAAGGAGTCTAACTTGGTGATCTCTTCCTTGTAAAGATCTTCTAGGAGCGGAGTGGGCTCACACAATCAAATCTCTCCTTTTGCAGTGTTTATTTTCCCATTTAAGAAAAAGGGAGAGAAGGAAACAAAGAAGGCAAGAAAGAAGATGGGCAACTCTCTTATACAGGCAAAAGCCCAGGAAAAGAGCTGGCTGGCCTGCTAGAAGAGAAGTCTAATTAGGAAGAGAATGTAACTACTTCCTGAAGCAACACAAATCTCCATATAACTCAAGGCTACTCTCAGACTCCGTCACCAGCCAGCAGCTCTGCTAAAACCAACCCCCAGGCCTGGAATTTCATTAGCTTGGCAACTTGTTGGTTTGCAGACAATCTTGGGTTTAGCCACATACAACATGGCCTCTTTCTGCTCAGGGTTTCTACAGCGTCTTTTGGTGACTCCTAAGCAGCCAAACACTGACCCATTATCATGGGCTCACATCCTTCACCAGTAAGGCAATCTGCTCCTGCAGCTGCCGCTCCCCTTCCCATGCTTTGCTCTGGCTTCGACATCTCAGCAGCTCAGCTTTATGATCTTGGTGATGCATAGGGCAGTAGCTCCGTGGTTCACACAGCTCCTGAAAGGTAGGGGACAAAGTAAAGGATGCTCTAGTATCCAGAATTCTGCCTACTATGTATAATAGAGATGCTGTTTGGTGGTGGCTAAGAAGGAGCAGTAATTTCTTCTCAGAGGGCTTTGCAAGCCCTGGAAGTTGCATGCTTAAGTTGGCTCCCCTGAGTCTGAGCTCTCCTATTGCCCCATGTGTCCCATCCTTTACCGTATATTCTGGAAAGAAGTCTCTGTAGCCCCCTTTGAGGATATATAGTTCTGGGTAGTACAATGCAGGATACTGGTTCAGAGCCCTGTCCTCTTCTCTCAGAGAGCGGCACCTTTAGAGAAAACCCAGATGTGGGTGGGGTGGAAAGAAGCAAGGTCAGGATTCCATGGGCCATTCGCTGGGGAGGGGAAGGAAGAATAGACTATGGGTAACCCAACAGACCTCCAGATCTCACTGTTTTTGCAAAACAAGATTCAAGTAGTCATTCTTTCTCCTCCTCATTCCCAATCATTTTTCCTTTTTTGCACCAAACTTTTAAGTTGTAGAAACCTTTTCTTCCACCTCCCTAACCTTTAAACTACAATGCAAAGAATGCATTCATTCATTCCAGTCTCTGTCTGAACTGGTCTGGGTAGGTTCCCTGGTTGTAAGTCCCAATTCAAGATCCATTTCTAACCCCTGCCCTACCCCATTTAGACACTTACATTCGGGGACCCCTCTCTGAGGAGAATTCACAGTGGAACACGATGATTATTCTTTTCTGGGTGTCCAGAGGAACAACGGGCCTCTTCAGAAAGAAGGTATACAGTTCTTCCTGACTGTATAAGTTTAAGGCTCCCTGCAGAAGAATTTCAGTATTTTCTTCTTAAGGGCCTGCGGATAGTTTCAACACTTAGAAATAACTAAGATACCATCTTGGGATATTTGGGACAGGAAGTCTAGACTGTAAGCACTTTCAGGGTATAGATCTAATTAAGTCTCTGTGTCCATCCTCAAAGACTAGCATAGAGCTTGGCATGTAGTAGGTATTCAAATGTTTGTAGAACTGACCACCCCCCCACCCCACCCCCTCACCCCCAATGTGTAGGAATCATTGTGAGGAATGTTCATGAGAGTCTACAAAGTGCTTCTCAGTCCTTGGATTAATATTTTATTTCCAAGCAGGAGCCCCTGGCTCCAATAGAATAATGGGAGGTTGGTCTAGGAGGGAAAGGAAAAGTAAATTGCTCAAGGTATACAGAATTAGAACAGGAATAAGGACGTGTAGCTCTGATGTGCTCTAAATGTAGAACCTCTTCCCTGGTTCTGGAGTTCATAGGATCTTTGTCCATAGACCCTTCTCATTAAAGAGCTACCTCCAACTCCTCCCCACCAATGGCCTCAATGTAACCTAACCTGGATGTGTCCTCCCAGGTACTCATATGGATAGCGGCAATCGATGATATAAAACTTCTCAATCAGACTCTGGAACTTCCCTGTCAGTAAGGCAGCCACCTGTATAGAAATGATGATCGAATACTCTGTTCCTCATCACTCTGGGAGACAAGAGTCAATCACACAGTTCCTGATTTGCATTCCCTTTAGTCACCCAGGATTCCACTCTATGCCCAGTCTCCAAAAGCCCCCTATATTTGAAATGGGGCAATAGTTCATCTCTACCCCTCAGTCAGGAGGATAAAATATAAAATGGTCTTTTGGAGCACCAAAATAGCTGGTATGGCCAAGATACCAGAGAAAACCATATTCAAGGCATTGCAATCAGCCTCTCAGGACACCCAAGGACTTCTGCAGTGGTACAGGTAGCAGGTAGCAATTCTGACTTTGCAAGAAGAAATGGGAAATGGGTTCCCCATGCTCCATCGTAAAGGAAGAAAGCAAGTTCTTCAGAAAAGGATATGGAAGAAAAGGGTTGATATCCTTAAGCTACTTGTAGGAGTGTAACTTGGTTCAACCTTCCAGGAGCTAACTTTGTAAATGAAAATGTAATTAACTTTGACTCAGCAATTTCTTTCCCAACATCTTTAGCAAACAGAAATGTATGCAAAGATATGGCACAACAATATTCATCTCAGCCATCATTTTAGGTTATCAAATAGTTAATAGTTAATATCAAATATTAACTATTAAATATTAGCTTAAGTTATCAAATAATTTTAAAAAGTTACAAATAACTTCAATATTCAAAAATAGCAGTTTGGTTAAATTATACATGTCAATAAAATAGAATATTATATAGTCATTAGAATGATAATATAGTTTTGTTTTAACAATGTAGAAAGATGTTTACAGGGATGCCTGGATGGCCTAGCAGTTAAGTTCTGCTTTAGGCTCAGGGCATGATCCTGGAGTTTAGGGATTGAGTCCCACATCGGGCTCCCTGCATGGAGCTTGCTTCTCCCTCTGCCTGTGTCTCTGCCTCTCTCTCTTGGTCTGTCATGAATAAATAAATAAAATCTAAAAAAAAAAAAAAAGGGCAGCCCGGGTGGCTCAGCGGTTTAGCGCTACCTTAGGCCCAGGGTGTGATCCCGGACACCCGGGATCGAGTCCCATGTCAGGCTCCCTGCGTGGAGCCTGCTTCTCCCTCTGCCAGTGTCTCTGCCTGTCTCTCTCTCTCTCTCTGTGTGTGTGTGTGTGTGTCATTAATAAATAAATTAAAAACCTTTAAAAAATCTAAAAAAAAAAGTTTACAATGACTCGCTAATAAGCTGACTTTACATGTTACTATAATATTTTTATCAAATATATTCCAGAATAAAATCTGGAAGGCCATAAGGAAAATATTGCTAGTAGTTATCTCTAGCAATGAGATTATGGGTAGGGCAACCAAATAATTATTGCACAAACTAGGACACTTTTGAGAGTGAGAGAATACTATTAATAATTACCATGCACTAAAAGGTGTCAATGGGACTAAACCAGGATATAAGGTTGCCAAAAGTTGAGTGATTTTGACTTTTTTACTTCTCTCTCTTCTTTCCTTGCTTTCTTTCCTTTGTAACAATTATCATTTGTTGAATTAAAAACAAAGGCAAAAGAATGGGATAAATGGGAGTTCTTCAATACAGCTTCAGATGAATGAGGAACCTAATGTAAGTGAACACAGTGAAATACAATGGAAGTGGGAATTTTAGGGACAGAACAGACCAGATGGTAGCTTATGTAACCAGTTACCATCTCCAGAAATCTGCTTACTGTTTCTGGGTTGATGTACTTCAGATCTTGGTGTCTCCCTGACACGGTTGGCAACACACATACCTAGAAATACCGAAAAACTGAAATAACAGCAAGTTTTCTATGCCCCAGTTTGAGATCAAAGACCCATATATTGTCCTTCATTTGTGGGATTTCACATGAGCCGCCTGGGTGGCTCAGTCAGTTGAGCTTCCGACTCTTGATTTCAGCTCAAGTAATGATCTCAGGGTCGTTACATACAGAGAACTCTGAGAAAGGCTCCACGCTGGGAGTGGAACCTGCTTAAGATTCTTTCTCTTTCCCTCTGCCACTACCCACCCCCAAAGATAAATAAATTAAAATTAAAACAAACAAACAAACAAACAAACAAACAGATTACTTCAAAAGAACCAATGGGGAAAAAAAAATCATTGACATGAAAAGATGTTCCTGATACATTAAATGATGGGGGAAACAGTATAACAAAACAGTATAACAAAATCATTTTTTTGTGAGAAAATAAAAAAATTTATTTGGGTATGTGCAAGTGTGTTTGTGAAAATACATAGGAAAAGTCTGGAGGTATTTTATATATACCAAGATGTTAAAAGCAATAATATTTTTATAAGATTTGAGGGCAGCCCAGGTGGCTCAGCGGTTTAGCGACGCCTTCAACCCATGGCATGATCCTGGAGACCCAGGATCGAGTCCTACGCTGGGCTCACTGCATGGAGCCTGCTTCTCCCTCTCTGCCTGTGTCTCTGTCTCTGTCTCTCTCTGTGTCTCTCATAACTAAATAAATAAAATCTTTAAAGTATATATATTTTTATACGATTTGAGGTATATTTCATTTTCTACTCTTTCTGTAATGACCAGATATTATTTACATAATTTTAAAAGATATTTTTAAAAAGAAAAAAGTAAAAAAAAAGTAAAAAGCCTCATACTTTCCCACTGCTCTGGATTTTCCCAGAATGAATAGAAATACTTTTTCACTGGAGAGGCTTAGGATCTAAATCTTCCACCATAGCATCTTCAGTTTATCAAATAGTACTTGGTGAGGATGCATATTATACCTACCATCCTCTTCAAGCAAAGAAAAAAAGACTAAGATCCAAAATGACTCAATGGAATATAAGATGAATGTAACCAAACTCACCTTGGAGAAATCACCAATCAGAGATCCCTGGTAAGAATCTTCCTCCAGCATCTGAATGATATTAATGTCACAGAGAGAAACTGTCTTCTTTAGACCTAAGCCCTGAGAATGACAAGATTTCCCCCAACCCCATTTCTCATGTTAGAGGTTTAAAAACCAAGAGACAGAAGGAGTGGAGATTTATTAAAAATATGCATACCCTTTGGGAAAAAAAGTATGCACACACATTGATCAAATATTTCCATTTGTTTTCCTAGGGAAATATAAATATGCACAAAGATCTGGCTGTAAAAATGGATATGCCAGCAAGTTTATAATAGAGAAAGATTAATAAATAACAGGTTCTTGGTTAAACAAATCATATTTAATACATTATATGCTATACACATATGCAAAAAAAGTTATGCTGTAGATTGACAAGAAAATAAGTTCATGATATCCTTAAGAAAGTGAGAAAATGAGTGCTTTGTGACCCTACTCTAATAAAAGAAAAAAATCTACATCAAAGAGACTAGAGGAATATATTTACCAAGTGTTGAAAATAATTAACTCTGGCCTATGGGATTGCAAGCATTTCACAAGAGCTTCTTTTGCTTATGTGCATTTTTATACTACCATACGCTGATTTTATTATATAGTATCTAGGGTTTTTTTTAAGGAGGGATAGGGAATAATGGCTAAATTTTTCGGAAGTTACCTCCCACCAAACCAGTGTGTTCCATGATGCTGTTTCTGTCAGAATACAGGTAAAAGAGCATTAAAAAATTTACATTTCTCTGTGTCCTCTCAGATCTCATAAAAGAAGGTTGGGAAGACAGTACGCCAACATCATTTCCAGAAATATAAGAGATATTTAATGTTAAATATTTTATATAGGGGTGCAGATGTAGAAAAGAAAAGACATAAAGAACAAAGAGATATAAATTAATGAGAAAGAAGACAAGACATTGTAAAGCAATCCTCATACCAAAAAAGCACAGAACACAACAAGGTAGAGGATTAAGTTGATTCTCATCTTTTTTTTTTTTTATTTAAAGATTAAAAATTTTTTTTTAATTTACTTATTCATGAGAGACACACAGAGAGAGGCAGAGACACAGGAAAGGGAGAAGCAGGCTCCATGTAGGGAGTCTGATGCAGGACTCGATTCCAGGACCCTGGGACCACACCCTGAGCCAAAGGCAGATGCTCAACTGCTGAGCCACCCAGGTGTCCCAAACAGATTCTCATCTTAAAAGAGCCTACCTTCCCGAGCTCTTTGTGGCTAGAACAAGACTCCTTTTTTTCTTTATGTGATATTGGGCTGTCCTTGAATTTTATGGTCCGCTTCAGTCTTGGCCTGTTCAAATTCTCTGGCAACGAAGGGGAGCGATACAAGGAGCTTCTATTAAGAGATGCCTGTATGGGAATATCAACCCCATATGTTCTTACTCCTCTAAGTGTGTCTTCAGGCCTGCAGCATGAACATTTCCTGCAAACTTGTTAGAAATGAAGAATCCTAGATGTTGAGCCTCACCCCAGACCTACTGAATTAAAATCTGCATTTTAGCAAGCTGCCCTGGCGATTTCTAGCAACACTCAACTTTGACAGGCAAAACCTTAGGTAAGGAACCACTCTTCCCTACCTCATTAATATCTTTCTCCTCAGGGTGTGTGATATTCCATCTCCCCAAGATGTATTAACTCTAGCCAAATCAAATTCACCACCTGACCATCTTATATGTACCAATTCTTATAGGAGAAAGCAAATGCAAGCTCAGTTCCTCTAGTCAAGTGAAAACCAAACAAACCAACCTAATCCCACAGTCTCTCTATGGGATCCTAAGATTCTGACAATCAAGATTTAAGAACCCAACAAAATGGAAGATGACAAACCAAAAGGGTCAGCCTAGGTGAAAAAATACTAGGCAGCAAGAGTATGTGTCAGTTTCTTGGGGTAGTGGTTTCTTTGAGGGAGAGAGGAAAAAATAACTCAGCTCTCTTATAAAGCAGGTTGTTAATAGGAAAGAAAAATAGCAAAATAAGCATCATGCAAGGGAAAAGGGAACATTAGAATCTGGCATCAGGATGGCCATTATAGGATTGATATTATGAAGCCCATCAGGAAAAAAAATGGATTAAATACCATAAAGAACTGGCCTTGGAAGTTACTCAGACTAATGTTCAAGAAGGTGGACCACTATCTCCTTGAAAGCCATGATTTGAGTGTTATAACCAGAGGCAGGGGGATATATTAAATAACCCCTGATAATAACTTTTAAGTAATCAAGATTCTTTTTTAAAAAAAAATTTTTTAAAAATAATCTCTACGTCCAAAGTGGGTCTCAAACTCATGATCCTAAGATCAAGAGTCCCATGTTCTATTGACTGAGACAGTGAGGGATCCCTCAACTAATCCAAAATTCTTATCCCTGTTCCCAGATACCTTCTACCTCTGGCCTACACGAAAACCAAGAGTTCCTACTTTATACACTCATCTCACTAACTAATGTGTATTGATTTAGAAGGGGGCTAGATAATAAGAGAGCCATAACTAGAAAACAAATTGATGGTCAATGGTTTCTGGGAGACTAAAATAACAACATCAATATTTTATTTTATAATAACTTTATCTATTGCAGCATTTGTAACATCCCTGGTCCCATCTAAGGGAAACTCCATGGTTCCTAATACCAGCTGAAGGTACAGTTCACATTTTACATTCCAATATTTTATATCTACCTCTTCCCTTTGATCTCTGCCAGTCAACTCCCTATGTCCCCACAACCCTACTCAGAGCCACTGACCAGCCAGTGCTAGTTTGACACATCCATCTAATGGTCTAGAACATGTAATAATCTGGGCCAATTAGGTTTCCTCTCCTGGGAGTCTAACTTAGAAAATGGCAAAATAACTAGGCAGCAACAGATGCCAAAGCTTAAAAGGAAGATGCCAAAAGATACAGTCAAGGCTGTGAGGCCAATGATGACTACATGGCTGAAACAAAGTTATAGTGGCAGAAGAGATATGGTGAAAGATTGAGGAACAGGTTACCCAGACCTCTTGACAGATTTCCCTTCAGATAATTTCATTTATACCCTGAGAAGGCAGGAGGAAGCCAGATCAAAATTTCCAATAGGATGACCTTAGTGCGATCTTTGTTTCTTTTAACCAAAAGAGCCTCTCTAGAACACACCAAATTCCTAAGCTAAGGGCTCATTGTAATTTATTTTATTATTTTAAAAACGATTTAATTCTTTATTATTTTAGGGGGGGGGAGGAGCAGATGGAGAGAGAGAATCTTAAGCAGACTCCCCACTGAGAGTGGAGCTGAACAAAGGGCTCAATGCCAGGTTGGATCTCATTACCCTGATATCACAACCTGAGCCAAAATCAAGTTGGAAGCTTAACCGACTGAACCACCCAGGTGCCTCTAAGGGCTCATTTTTAAAGAGTCTAATGATTTAGCTAGTAAGGGAAACATATCCATTTTTTAGTATTATATCTAAGAAATCGTTACCTAACCCAAGGTCACAGAAATTTTCTATGTTTTTTTCTTCAGATATTTTATAGTTTTAGATTTCATATTCAGGTCTATTAACCATTTTGCACTAATTTCTATACAAGGTATAAGGTACGAATTGAGGTTTTTTGTTTTTGTTTTTTTATAAAGGTTTCATTTATTTATTCATGAGAGACACAGAGAGAGAGAGAGGCAGAGGGAGAAGTAGGCTCCTTGAGGAGAGCCTGATAGTGGACTTGATCCCAGGACCCCAGGATCATGACCTGAGCCAAAGGCAGATGCTCAACCACTGAGCCACCCAGGTGCCCCAAAGTTTTTGTTTTTCATATAGATTGTCAGTTGCAGCAGCACAATTTGTTGAAATTGTTTCTCAGTTTGTGTTGTATCTTGGGCTAATTATCAATTGTCCATATATGCATGCGTCTATTTCTCAAGTCTCTATTCTCTTGCATCAATGCTTTAGGTTTCTGGTAGCTGTTATTATGATAATTAAACTGATAAACAACTTTTTGGGTTTCATATAGTCTAAAGGCAAGAATCCAGAAATAAATAATAGGAGAAAACTACTTTAACAAATAGAAACAGCCACTACTGTTCTGATAGTGTCTTTTTATTTTTTTTTTTTTTTTTTTTTAATTTTTTTTTTTTTTTGATTTTTATTTACTTATGATAGTCACAGAGAGAGAGAGAGAGAGGCAGAGACACAGGCAGAGGGAGAAGCAGGCTCCATGCACCGGGAGCCCGATGTGGGATTCGATCCCGGGTCTCCAGGATCGCGCCCTGGGCCAAAGGCAGGCGCCAAACCACTGCGCCACCCAGGGATCCCTGATAGTGTCTTTTTAAAACATGTATATAAAAACAAACAGCAACTTACTGCAAAGAGCATAAATGTTTGGTCATGAAGGGATGATGACAGTGATGATACTGTAGCTTTGTCTAGCGAATTTCCCAGTTCTCAGAAGCAGTGATAGACAGGAGGAACCCAGGACCAGCTAGATTAAATTGCATTCATCATCTATGCATTAGAGACTTTTCTTCTTTAAGGAATCAATAAACACTTTGAATATATGGGAGTTTTAAGCATTGAAAAGGCCAAGAAGAAGAAAAGAAACTTGCTAAGCTCGATTCTACCTGCATATTTTATAAAAAGGTCTAAATGAATAATCATTATTTTGTAAAGTGAGGAGGCATCATCATTTCCTCATGGCCTACACAATCTTCAACACACACAGACTTGCTTCTGCTTGCACCATACTACTGCTCTTGTCAAAGTTCTCAACAGTCTTCATGTCACCATATCTGACAGTCACTCTTTAGACATAGACCTCTCTGAACTTCATAGTGGCTTCCACTGAGTTGGCTATTGCCTCCTTCATTGGCTTCAATGGCACCTCCCAGTTTAGTTTAGTGCTAGTACAGGCAATCCCTAAACTAAACGAACCATGATGCTTCTACCTTTCTGTTGCTCCTTCTCAGTCTTCTTTCTTGGGCCTCCTTACCTGCCAAAACTCTAACAGATGTTGGATTCATCATGGTTAGGTTCTGGCCCTTTTTAATCCCTCATTTTTGCCTTACATGATTTTTTCTATCTGTAAATTCAAATTTTCCCTCTATACAGAAGACTCTCAAATAGCTATTTTCAATAAAAAATTTCTGCTCTTATTTCCAGACTTCCATATCCACATACTTGCTTGACAATTTCTGAGTACCTACTAGGTGACATGCAATGAATAGGGAGCGGAAGAAACAAATGTACTATGTGCTTTTATGTAGTGGCATGTTCTATAGGTTAAAAAAATAAAGAAGAATGAAAAGATAGAAAACGTATTTGGGTTGGAAAGCGTGTCAGGAAAGGCCTTCCTGATAAGATAACATATGCGGAGAAATGAGACTAAATTGAGGGGAAAAAAATCCTGTTTTGCCTAAGAGAAGAATGTTCCAGGCTGAAGGAACAACAAATGCAAAGGCCCTGGTGAGAACAGCAAGGCCAGTAATGACTGCATTTGTGGTACCATTTTTAGAAAGCTGAAAAACTAACTGAAGCAATACCATAAGCCAACTAGACCTAACAGACATCAACAGAACACTGTACCCAACAATAGGCTGTACATTTTCTCAAATACACATGAAATATTCTCCAGGACAAACCAACACAAGGTCATAAAATAACCTTCAATAAATTTTAAAAGACTGAAATCATACAAAGTATGCTCTCTGACCACAATGGATTAATCAGAAATTAATAGCAGAAAAAAAGGGGATCCCTGGGTGGCTCAGCAGTTGGGCACCTGCCTTTGGCCCAGGGAGTGATCCTGGAGTCCCGGGATCGAGTCCCACATTGGGCTCCCTGCATGGAGCCTGCTTCTCCCTCTGCCTGTGTCTCTGCCTCCCTCTCTCTGTGAGTCTCTCATGAATAAATAAATAAAATCTTTAAAAAATAAATAACAGAAAAAAGATCTGGAAAATTCAGTTAGGTGGAAATTAAACAATACACTCCTAAATAACCACTGGGCCAACAAAGATCTCAAGGGAAATTAGAAAATACTTTTGGATGAATAAAAATGAAGACATGGCACACCAAAACTTACATAAGGATAAAGCTAAAGTAGTATTTACATGAAAACTTACAGCTGCAAAGGCCCATAATAGAAAAAAGAACAACTTGAAGACAATGACCTAACCTTCTATCAAAAAAGAAACTAAGGGACCCCTGGGTGGCTCAGTGGTTGAGCGTCTGGCTTTGGCTCAGGTCAGGTCATGATCCTGGGGTCCTGGGATCGAGTCCCAAGTCCCCCAAGTCCCGCCTCATGTCCCAAGTTCCAACTCCCTACATAGAGCCTGCTTCTCCCTCTGCCTGTGTCTCTGCCCCTCTCTCTCTGTCTCTCATGAATAAATA